ACACAGGATGGCACGTCCTGCATCAGAGCGCCCATCGCAGCGTTGACACAGCACAGCACCAGTGAGGCCCCGTGGAGTCCCAGGCAGGAACGTCCAGGGCAGCGTGACATGGACACGCCCTGAACATCAATAAGCGAACGGTGAACCCAAAGCATTCACCCACTTCACAAAATCTTCCCCAAGTCATGTTTGGGGTCCAAACAATCGAACTCCAATTGCAGACACATCTTATAAGGAAACTCCTTATGCAATTGGATGTGGCTAAAGCTGTACACAGAGAAAAATTCATCGAATTCAGTATGTCTTAAACAAGAACAAAGAAAACAAATGAATTAAGCTCTTGATTCAAAAAGTTGAAAAGAACTTCTCAACAAAACAGACATCAGCAAACTGGAGGAAGGAATTACTAAGAGATAAATTAGTGGATTTAATGAAAGAAAGAGAATAGAACTTGCTGATTACACTCAAGAACTGATTTTCTTTGAAAACACAAATTAGAAAATCAACCTCTGGCAATTCTAATCAACAAAAAAAATGGAAGGAAGGAGAACGGCAGTGAGGGAAGGAGGGAGGGAGGGAGGAAACTGGGAGGGAGAGAAAATGCAAAAATATAGCTATTGGGAATGAAGATATGGAGAAGAAACTTAGAAAAATACACTATGTAGATCTGCACTAGAAGACTGAAAGCAGTTTGAACTGGGATATTATCTAGAAAATATAAGTAACCAAAATACACTAAAAAATGTTTAGAACGCAAAAAGACCAATAACCATAGTACAAATTAAGTAAGTTGACAGCCAACTAAACCTCAGAGAAAAATAAAAGCAAGCCATAGCTGATACAGTTTCTAAAATGAATTACTTCAAGCCTTGGAGAGTACAATGATTTTATGTTATATTTAAACTAGTTCAACTACACAATTCATGTTGAAAACCTCTCCTATTCATTGTATGACGCTAACATAACTCTGATTTATAAACGTGACAAATATGTCACCTAATAGAAAATTACATGGGCCCTAAGTAAAGCCAAGGAAGAAATATAGTCAATAATCCTGTGATAGCTGTGCCTGTGCCGGTGGGAGCCATAGTGAGGGGAACACTATGTAAAGTATACGCTTGTCTAACCACTAAGCAGTACACCCCAAACCAATCCATAACAATAAAAAAGGAAAGTACAGACGAAGAGTACCCTAAGCATCAAATCAGTGGAATGCACCTGAGCACATTCAAGCACAATCGAGCCTGACCCCTGGGATTCGGGCCAGGAACGCGGCATGATTTTGCTCAGAAGAGCTAATACGTCAACACATTAACAAGCCCACGGAGACAGAAAGGGGATGGTTTTGCTGAGCACAGGAAAGCTTTTGATGAAACTGCATATGAATATCTGTTCTTGGTGAACACTCTTGGCGACTAATGTATGAATGGAGCATACTGTTCATGAAGAAGAATATTTACTTGAAATTTAAGGCCAAATTCAGACTTAACAGTAGAACATTAGAGGCCCTCTCATTAAAATAAAAGCAAGCCAAGGCAACTGTCATTATTTAATGTTGCTCTCCACCTTTTGGAAAACACAAAAAATAAATAAAAAATACGTTAGAAATGGAGAGGTAGACTGTATCTTATGTGCTGTAATGGGATTAATTTATTGGGTTTTCCCAGGAATCCAAACTGAAAATCTGTTCCGGCTAATGAGAAAGTTCAATTATCAATTACTTAACATACATTTAAAAAAATAAATAGCTTACCTACCTGTCTCCCTGGGTATAGGGGTTCCCATCCCCAGAGACATTCCCACTGAGTCCACCGGGAGCAGAAACTGTAATGCTCACTCCAGTGGCCGTGAGGGAGGGGCATGTGTGAGCAGGTGCCTGCATGTTGCTGGCCCTGGGTCCCCCTGGCTCCGTGGGTCTCTCAGCCATTGGCCCGGGACACGTTCTCCCCAGTGGCCTGCTCTGTCACCCAGGTCTGCCACCCGGCCTGTAGCCTCCTTCCTGGCCCAGACACTGCACCATTCTGCCCTCTGGGCTGGGCCCTGCAGATGTCCAGCCTCCTTTAGGAACTTGCTCTCCCTCTTTTAAGGATGATGCTCCTAGCCCGGTGCCCAAGGGAGAGCAGGCTCTGGGGTCAGCCAGTCCCAGAATGCATGTGGGCTCCCCTGCTCCTGGTGCTGCTGCAAGCTCTGATCCCTGACCTCCTGGCTGAACTCAGGCAAGCTGGGGTCCTGAGCCCCTTAGTTTCCCTGTGTGTAAACCAAGGAGGCAGAACTAGGCAGAAACAGGCCACACGCTGTTTCCTGATGACAGGCTTGTTCTTTCCTTTCTTCCCTCACTTATTCAGCGAACAAACATCCATGGGGCCCTGTTGACCTGTGCCTCACACTTGGAAATAGAACCCAGGGACCTGTGTCTGCCAGGGGAGACAAATGTAACACCACAGTGCGTGTGAGCAACTTGGGATTAGGGGTCTTTGCTGGGTGCTGAGGAGGAACAAGGGCGGGAGAACTAATGCTAAAAAGAGAAAGCAGGAAAGGCTGCCTGGAGGAGGTGATTATTTATGTTTGTTTTTAGGAGGTGATTTTTTAGATGGGCTTCTGAGGATGACCAGGAGTTTTTCAGTGGGTTAAGCGAAGGAAAAGCAGGGCAACATCACAGGTCTCCAGGCCGACACCCCAGTCCCAACAGACCTAGCCCTCCTCTGGTCTCTCTCCAGCAGCTGCCCTGAAGGGTGAAGTCCAAGGAGCCCAGAGGTGTGGAGGGTGCAGGCAGCTTCCACAGGCACCACAGCTCCATCCTGCGCCCAAGTCAAACCCTGCCCATCCCAAAGCCAATGTGTGGTTCTCTCCCCAAAGGGGTTTCCCAGGCTGCTCAGCCCTGGAAGACTGTGGGCCCTGGCTTGATGGGTATGCGACCTGCAGGTGGGGCTGTCCCCTGACTCCCACACCTCCGCCAGCCCCCAAGGCACACAGCAGCCACGTCTTACCCGAGGAGCGGCTCCCTCAGCTCCCCTTGCCTCTCCAGGTGAAGCTCACTGGAGGGCCTCCCGTCTCCTTGCAGGAAGCCCAGCAAGATGGGAGCGTGGTGCTTGGATAGGCCGGGCCCACGGCCAGGCTGTCCTTAGCCAGCAGGTACAGGTGTGGGCAGTGTGGCCAGGAAGTGGCAGGGGGCCCACAGGGCGGAGCAAACTCAGGCTCCAAATTAGCCCTCCAGGCCAGACCTCTCCCGAACCCAGGACTCCTGCGGGTGATGCCACCTGGCTGTAGGGTGGGTAGTCTTGTCCCTGTTGCCACCTCCAGGACCCTCCATCCTGCATGTCACACACGGAAGCCCTACCTGGGGCTCCAGGAACATCCTGGATGCCTGCTCCCCAAGTCTGTCCACTGCCTCCCACCCACCGCCCTGCTCCACCTGCACCCTTTCTCACCTCTCGACCTGCAGCACCGCACCCCTGCAATCAGTGAGGCCTGGCCATCACCTCCTCTCCTCCATGGCTACCTCCCTGCCTAGCGCCTCTGAGCCCCTGCACCTGCGCTGGCCCGTGTCCTCACCTGCTCTGCTCCTGACACCCGCCTCCAACCTGACCCCTGGACACTCAGGAGGCTTCCTCCTCAAAGCCCCGCTGGGTCTTTTCCTGCCCGCCCCTCTGCTCCCGCGGCCGCACCGCAGGTCTCCCCTTGGCCTGTCTCCATGCACAGGCAGCGCACGCTGAGGCCTTCCTGGTCCACCTACCCAAGGTGCAAACAGCTGCCCACACTGGCGGTCAGGACCCTGGGCACCACATTGTCGCCTGGTGAGCCAGGCTGGGCAGGATTGTCAGCACCGGCCCTCCTCTGGTGCCCCATCTGCAGGTCAGCTCCGAGCGAAGGGGGACTGGAACAGAGGGAGCACCTGTCACACTGCTGGGTGCGCCTCCAAGGCAGGGCCTGGGGAAACAGCCATGGCAGGCAACACTCATGCTCAGGACTAACCTCAGGGCAGGGCCGTGGCCTCCCGCCAGCAGAGAGGAAGCTGCCCGCACCTGGAGCTCCACTCTCCTGAAACCCACCAGCGTTTGTGGGCCCCCGCGAATCCTGCCCCACACAGGCCTCCCCTCTCTCCCACACACACCCTTACATAAGCAGCAGAAGTTTCACATGCTCTCATCTCGCCCACGTGCCCACTTCATCACAGGCCGCCCCTTCCCTGCCCCTCCTCCGGGGCTAACAGACGGTTCCGGGCCCCTGGAGTCTAAGGAAGGACTCGGGGAATCTTGGTTTTTAGTCCCCTGACTGTGCCAGGCCCGGGGCAGCCATCCTGTTTTGCACCTGCTCCCAGGACGGCCGTCTCCTGCCTCCCCTGGCCCTGTTCACCCACAGGAGTCCCTACGGGCTTGCTGGTGCCCTCAGCCACAGCCCATCAGGAAGGCAGCCGGGCCATCCCATCCTGAGCCCTGGGCGCCGCCCACCTGGCAGCAGGTGCCCCTGCAGAAGTGTTGGGGTGGGGGGCGGCTCCCTCTGGGCCAGTGGTTCCGGAGGGGACGGTCGGGTCGCACTCCCTCCCCGATGACAGAACCCCTTCCCCAGGCCTGCGGCGCAGAAACCGCTTGCACCTGGCCTGCTG